AGGGGTATCAGTATGAGGATGAGGATGAGGATGAGGATGAGGATGAGGATGAGGATAAGGAATAAGATAAGGATAACGATGACTGTAAATGTCAGGATGACAATAAGCCTCTCTCTCTCTCTCTCTCTCTCCTTCTCTCTCTCTCTCTCTCTTTCTTTCTCTTTCTTTCTCTCTCTTTCTCCTTTTCTCTCTCTCTCGCTCCTTTCTCTCTCTCTCTCTCTTTCGCTCTCTATTTCTCTCTCTCTCTCGCTCCTTCTCTCTATCTCTCTCTCTCTCTCTCTCTCTCTCTCTCTCTCTCTCGCTCTCTCTTTTGCCACCCCCTCTCGTGTTAACGTTTTCTTTCCTCTTCTTCACAGCTCTCTCTCCCTTCTATCGCGATGCATATAAATCCCAATAGATATATCCCCCTTCTCGCTCTCTCCTCCTATTTTTTCGTTCTCTATTGCATTCTCTATTTCTTTCGCTCTCATTCTCACATTCTGTATTTCTCTCCTCTCTTCCTTTCCCCGTCACTCCCCTTTCCCGGATTATCCCACAGATAAGTTGCGCTCGGATCTTTTTGTATACATATGTATATATAATGCGCGAGGATGAGGAAATCCGGCGAAATGAAGGCGAGTGCTATGTAGAGGTAAGGTCGTATATAGAGGGCTTCTTGGCGAATACCGCCATGGTACCATCGCGGTGCCGCCATGGTACCACAGCCGTGCCGCCATGGTACCACAGCGGTGCCGCCATGGTACCACCGCGGTGCCGCCATAGTACCACAGCGGTGCCGCCATGGTACCACAGCAGTGCCGCCATGGTACCACAGCAGTGCCGCCATGGTACCACAACGGTGCCGCCATGGTACCACAGTGGTACCGTTATAGTGCCACTGCGGTTCCGTTATAGTGCCGCCGCGGTACCATTATAAAGCCGCCGCGGTGCCGTAATAGAGCCGCCGCGGTGCCGTAATAGTGCCGCCGCGGTGCCGTTATAGTGCCGCCGCGGTACCGTTATAGTGCCGCCGCGGTGCGGCCGTGGGACGGCTACACTGACGTACCTGGATTGCGTTGGTGACGTTCCAGCCTGCCTGCCACTCAGAGATGGCGTTGCGCGGATGCGACGGTCCCATCGACTCGACGCCGAGCACGGAGCCGTTCTGCATGTCGTCGCCGTCGCCGCACTCTCCCGGCGTCGACACGGTCGTCGTGCCGTTCGGCACGTCGGCCATCTCGAAGTCATCTTTGTTGCCGTACTTGGCGAACAGTACGGTCTCCTCGCGCGTCGCCGTCTGCGGCAGGAACGAGCGTAAGGTCCTCAGGCGGGCCGTGACGGCGTCCATGGTTTCGTACCTGGTAAAGCTAGCTGCTGGCTCTGGCCGGGGGTGCTAGTAGCTCATGCGGACCCGCGTCGCAGCGATGCCGCCTGTGTTTCGCTCCCTGTTCGTCTGCGTCTCTCACGCGGCGGCGGCGGCGGCGGCGTGCTACTGACGGCGGCGTGTTAGCGACGGCGGCGGCGATGCATTGAGACCAACGGCAGACAGGTGGCCGGTTTTAAACGTTGTCGAATCGTCACGAAGTTTCGGAGTAGGTAAGCGATATCGCGCTGGTTAATTTCTAGAGTAGTTTCTTGTCGGGTTCTTCCTTTTGATGCTGAGAGAGAGAGGTGCGGTACGAGAAGGGGAGAGTGTGTGGGATTTAGCAGGGAGTGAAAGAGACGCACGGAGCACACACGCACACCACTCAATCCACTTCTCTGCGTACAAACGGAGAGAAGACGAGCGAGCGAGCGAGCGAGCGAGCGAGAGAGAAAGACTGTAACAAGCGAGTGGCACGGTCGGTGTGCTGTCGTTCTTCTCTCAGCAGCCTCCTATGCTCGTACTGCGTTCGCTCGCCGCTAGCTTGCTTTACTACCGCGCGCGCGCCGTCCCCCCGCTGTCGCTGTTCGCTGCTGCCAACCTCCCACTCACTCGCCGCATCCGCCGCCGCGCACGCATGCACGGACGCTCGCTGCTGCTGCCGCTGCTGATGACGCTGATGATGACGATGATGAGGATGACGATGAGAGCGAGTATGAGGAATACGATGATGATGATGAGGATGACGATGACGATAATGAGGATGACGATGAGAACGAGTATGAGGAATAAGATGAGGAGGGGTATCAGTATGATGATGGGACGTGATGACGGCATGAGGTAGAGGATAGGATGAGCGATAAGGATAAAGATAAGGCATAACGATGACTGTAAATGTCAGGAATGACAATAAGCCTCGCTCTCTCCTTCACTCTCTCTCTCTCTCTCTCTCTGTCCTTGTCTCTCTTTCTCCTTGTCTCAGTATCTCATGCTCTACTCTCCGTTTCTGTCTCTCCCTTGGTCTCCTCTCTTCTGCTCTCCCATTTCTCTCTCTGCTTTCTTCTCTCTCTCTCTCTCTCTACGTCTCTTGCTCTCTCTCCCTCTCTCCTCTATTTCTCTCTCTCTTCTCTCTCTTTCTCTCTTTCTCTCTCTCTCTCCTCTCTCTTTCTCGTCTCTCTCTCTGCTTCTTCTCTCTCTCTCTCTCTCTTCTTCTCTTTTCTTCTCATGCTCTTTCTCCTTTTCTCTCTCTCTCTGCGCTCGCTTCTCTCTCCTCTCTTTCGCTCTCTATTTCTCTCTCTCTCTCGCTCCTTCTCTCTCATCTCTCTCTCTTTCTCGCGTCTCTCTCTCTTCTCTTATCTCTCTCTCTCCTCGCTCTCTCCTCTCTCTCGTCTCTCTCTCTCTCTCTCTCGCGCCTCTCTTTGCCATCCCTCTCGTGTTAACGTTTCTTTCCTTCTTCTTCTACAGCTCTCTGACTCCTTCTAAATCGCGACCTGCATATCAATCCCAATAGATATATCCCCTTTTCGCTCTCTCCTGCCTATTTTTTCGTTCTCTATTGCCATTTCTATTCTTTCGCCTCACTTCTCCAATTCTGTATTTCTCTCTCTCTTTTCCTTTCGCGGTCACTCCCCTTTCTCCGGATTATCCCACATAAGTTTGCGCTTCGGATTTTTTGTATACATTATGTATATATATATTTATATAATATATATATATATATATATATATACTCGCGCTCTTTCTGCTGCGCAATCATTGTTTACGGGCGCTTTCATCGACGGAATACACGTCGGCCTAGGCACGGCTCAACATAACGCGCGTCTCATCCCGCGCCGCGCTGCGAAGTCAGCGCAGTCAGTTCGGCTGATGTTGCCTTGCCAGCTTTACGGCTCTGGCCTGCAGCGGAGGAGGTGCTTCTCTCAGTAGAAGCTGATGGGAATCGCCGGCCGCGCTCATAACACCGCAAATTCCTCCTCACGTGCTGCGCGGGCGTTCGCCCACACACACACGCGCATACGCACGCTCATATACATGGTGCACACGACACACGCAACGCACGCACCAATCACACCACACACACACACACACACAACACACATGTAACGCAGCACACGCACCGCGCACACACCACACTAACTGCAAACACCACACCCACACACACAGCACACCACACACCACACACAACACACACCCACACACGCCACGGCACGACCACGCACACACACACACAACCACACACACACACACCACACACAATTACGCATGGGAATTGTCTCCGTTCACGCGGACGTTAGATCATGAGGCCACATAACGCAATACCACGGGAGCTGGGGGCAGAATTTCTTATAGAGTCGTATAAATATTAGTACCCTACATACACCGGCGCTAGTGCACTGCGAGTGCATCTCTGCCTGCGCTGCGAGCACTGCGCGCGCGCGCTTGTTTTTGCCACCTGCCCCGCTGCCACGTCTATTCGTAGCGCGGCGGCGGCGGCGAGGCAGGCTGCGGCGGCGACGCGCCTTTTTCCTCGCTCCGTGCCTGCATTTCCATCCATCATTCGCCGCAGGCTCGCGCTCAGCGACGAAGCCAGCGTATACAAGTAGCGTGTTCTATGTGAAATACAGGCGGTGTATATAGTATGTATCGTGTATATCGTGATATATTATATTATATTATAATTACTATATATTACGAAGCAATACGGCCTGCATATAACTGCCGGGACGTCACCGCGGTCACTTGACGGTGATGGGCGCGTATCTATTGATGGCATTATGGGCTTCCACAGAGTTAGATGTACATGAAGAGACGCGTGAGGAGGCGATCGGGGGTGAGGTGGGTGACACTCGGTGCGGGTATTGGAAGGGTCGGGGTTATTATATCCGCGCGCGGATATTCACAGGCCGATGCTATTTCATCAACACATACACACCACAAGCGTCGGCTACAGCGCACGCACGCACGCGCACGCACGACGCCCGAACGCCGCACGCACGCGCACTACCGCACACGCACTCGCACAGCACACGACACACGCACTTACGCACAGCCCACACGCATCATCGCACACGCACACTCCACACATGCACACCGACATCACACACACACACACACACACACACACAACACACACACACCACAGCTTATATATTAATATCAGGAAGTTATATATTCCCATATTATACATTCCCGTAATATCAATACCTATATAATTCCGTTATATATATTCTCTTATTATTCTACTTGGATACTATATATATGAATATCATATTATATATATGTGTGTACAGTTAGTTGCGTGGGGCTGCTAAGCTAAATTACATTGCCACCTGCGTGACTATGGCTGGAGCAGTTTCTCCACCATTTATATAATGCTGGATGTATATTGGAGTATCAATAGCGTATAAAGGAAGGGCCTTCTTATCGCTCTTGGAGTTCCATGTAATCTAGTTCGTCTAGAATAAATTCCATTATTACAGCGGAGTTCTAATGTTGTGAGGTACTTTTTTCCATTGAGAATTTTTTTGCGTAGGGTCGCTTGGCATCTGTGACTCGCTTGCTTATCCATGAAGCAGGAATGTAGGCTTTTTCACCTGTGGCCGTCTCTTCCGCCCTTCTGCCTATTACAGTGCATGGTCTGCGATTATTTAAAACAAAATTAACATTCTACATCCTCCTTCTATAATCGGCAAAATTTGAACAACAGTATCTATCCATGTTTGTGTGTCACTACGCTCCCAATTTACAGTGAATGCAATTCAGTCCACTTGCAATGTCCACTTGCAATGTTCACCGTTTTTACACATGTCACGGTACAATCCACTGTACAATGCCACTTACAATCCAGCTTGCAATGTCACGTACTAATGGCCAACATCATTAGCAATCCACTACGTCCACATACTGCCACCTTACATTGGCCACGTTACAATGCCACTTTACAAATGGCCCTTACAATTGCTACTTATGAATGCACTTTACAATGTTACTTATAATGCTACTTACAATGCCCCTTACAATGCCACTACAATGTACTTACAATGCCCATTAAATCGTTGACAACACGGTTCTACTATAGAATAGAAGCACAAACGTATGTTTATCTCATATTCAATATCACGG